AGGTAAAATCTCCTTCAGGTTTTGCTCCTTCTGTGGAACCCATGTAGAACCTGCTCAGTTTTTCTCGCCTTCCTTCCTCTTCTCCTTATAGACGGGTTTAATTTCTTGTGACATCGAGCTGGATGTTTGCAGCCTGTGGAGGCTCACTATGTCCGCTCCTCTCCATGGAAACCATCCTGTGATCATCACCCACTCTTTTCCAACTAACTGGCAGTATCTGCGGGATGGCTCTGCCTAAAGATAAAACAGCGTTTCAGCAGATATGAAGAACAGCATGTCTGCTAACTGAACCTGGAGATGCTTTGAGCAGCATGTGAAGAAAAAGCAAACAGCTGATTGGTTCTTTAGGAGAAAAACACTCCAAGCTGCACAGAACCTTTCCAGCGGAGATGATTAGGATTCTTCCAGGCAGCGGGACAAAATCCAGTCGATGCTGTCCTGCAGTCAGCAGCAGGCTGCAGCTTCCGGCCTCATTAGCATGCTGCAGCTCCCTCTCTGAGCCCAGACCAGAACCATGCTGCTTCTTGCTCTGCAGGAGAGGCCTCAGATGATGTGTTTACTGACTGCAGCAGCAAACAGATCCTCAAGTCCTTTAGGACGTTAAAGAGTGAGGAAACAGCACCAGTTGTATACTGGTTCTGATCAGATTTTCCTCTGATTCTAATTTATCTGACTTAACCAGACTTCAGGTGATTTCTGACCTGATCGTTCTTTGGTCCTGGCTCTGATTTTCCTCCAGGCTTATTTTCCTCTGCATCCTAATTTTCCTCATTCTGATTCCGATTTTCCTCTGGTTCTAATTTAAATGTCCTTCTGGTTCTGTCCGATTTTCTTCTTATTTTGATCCATATTTCCTCCTGTTTCTGGGTCAGATTTAGTTCTGGTTCAGGGCCGGGTTTTCTTTTTGATCATAATTCTCTCTGGTTCAGATCTTTCTGCTCTGCACCGATCCAGACAGGAAGGTGTGTTTAAAGAGAGGAGGTGAGAGGCTCCTGGAAGGGTTGGGGGGTGGTGGTGGGGGGGTTGAGTTACAGGAAGCAGCAGAGGCCAGCAGGGACACTGCTGAATTATTGATCCGCTCCATAGTTGAGCTTTTATTTTTCTTTCTGAGGACTGGAGCTGCTTTCACCTGAGATTTCCCATGAGGCCACAGTCCCATGGTCACCACGGAAACAAAACTGACAAGGACAAAGATGAGTTCAATGGACTCACATGACTCTAAGCAAGAAAATACCTCAACCCCTGCATTCCTGTCTCTGCTGTAACCCCAAAGATCTGCTGTTACCACACCTTTTTATTGTAATCCCAACTGTCCACTGTACTCACACCTCTCTGTTTTAATCCCACCAGTTTCATATAATCCCACCTATTTGATGTAATCATTCTTGCTTTCTGTAATCTCACCCATTTTCTGCAATTAAACCCGTCTGCTATAACCATGCCTCTCTGCTGTAATCCCACCTGTGATCTGTATTCATACCTCTATGATGTAATCTCACCAGCCTGCTAAATGCATCTGTTAGCTGTAATCCCACCTGTGTCCTGCAATCCCATGAATCACTTTCATCCAACCTGCCTGCTATAACAAAGCCTGCATGCTACATCTGTCAGCTGTAATCCCTTATGCGTTCTTTAACCGCACCTGTCTGCTATAATCACATTCTAACGGGTGTAATCCCACCTACATGATGTAAACCCACATGTTTTTTATAACCAAACTTGCATGCTTCACTACCCCAATAAGTTCAAATAGCAATCTGGTTGCTGTAATCCCACCTGTCTGATGTAAACTGTTGTATACCTTATATCTCCCCAGTAAACCAGGTTATGCTTTTATCCACAGTGGATTATATGAACTCTTTTTTTCTATTATACTTTATATACATGCTTAATTTGACTCTTTAAGGACAAAGCTTGGTGAATCTAACTTCAGAAAGTGAAAATCCTGCCTGATTTTCCTTCATCCTGTTCATTCAACCAGAGGACTTTAAACCAGGGTTTATTTACCCTTGTCATCAGGGCTCACTGTCTTTCATGTTTCTCTACTCAAGCACACCTGATTCAAATGATTTCTTTACCTCCTCTGCAGCCATCAAATGCTGTGAAAGCATATTGCACTTTGGATCAAGTGTTTCATAGAATGCAAAACCGAGTTTCCATTGTCATAGTGTGAAACGGACGTACAGAGAAGTTCAAACCCCATCGACACCTCCTTTCTCTGCAAATCTCAAAATTCTAAACTTCCACCATAAAACGGGCGATAAAACGGCAGAACAGACATCTCAAGTCTCCCGGAAGTCTCCTTGATATAGATAGTTGTTCACAGATGGCCGCAAGTTGAATAAATTGTCCCGGATTTTAGACAATGCGAGGTGGTGTTTTTTTTAATACAAGTGACAGCGTGCAGGCAATACAATAATCCGTGCATCATGTGCAGATTAGAACTACTTCGAGAGAGCGAGCGGGGTGAGAGCGGGGTGTGGGGAGGAGATTGCTTGTGAAACCTGTGCGTATCTGTCTTTATAGTCACCTAGTTACCACTCAATGCTGTGCATCCTGTGAAATAAGTTGAATCCAGTAAAAAACGAAAATATAAGACTCATTTTACGGCGGTGGGGGGTGGCATTGCACTGTAGTCGACCAAAATCCCTGACGATTTTGAAATTCCTTTTTTTAGGCATGAAAAGGAGCAGTGTATTCTCATTATTAGTTCGTATGAAATCGTACGAAAAGTTATGCACTGTAATTTCGTACGTTTTAGACGTTTTTTTCATCGCATTTCGTCGTATTTTTACATCTTGCCTCAAGACAAGATATCCTTGCGCATGCGCGTCTTACGCACCATTAAATAACATAGAATTTACCATACAATTAGCCCTAACCCTGACCCTAACCCTAACCCTAAGATACAAAACAGCAAGCAACCTAGTTAGAGACCTGAAGAAGTGATTATTGCACTGTTTTTCCCATTTTTACGTCCGTCCGCGGATCTGCTTTTTTCGTCTGAAAAATGTCCAAAACGTCCGAAATACTGTGCATGACTTTTCGTACAATTTCATACGAACTGATAATGAGAATATGTTGAAAGGAGGACGTCTGGTCACCCTACCATATCAACAATCTCGATTTTTCAGTGAGTGTGTGCTTATTGCTATGATGCGTCGTTGCTCAGCAGCTTCGCTCGTTACCCACCAATCAGCACGCAGCTCATCTAGACATTCATGATCAAACCATAAAAAGAAGAAAACCTGTCGCTTCTTTTAGGGCCTATAACCAGGCTTGCACAAGGGCTCATAGAACAGCAAATATGCTATTTTCAGCCCAACCAATGTTACACACCCTATTCAGAGACCATAACGACCAGCACCAAACACCCTATATAATCATTCTATGACCCCTTTAAGAAACCCTGGTTCAAACCAGTTTTAGACCCCAATCCCGCAGGGCTATTTTCTAGCTGCTACTTCTAATTGTGATCTTTTTTCTTATTCATTCAAATCAAATAACTAAACTGCCTCACAAGCAAGCATTTAGGCTCTGCAGAGCTCCATCAAAGAGCTCCTATCGGAGTCAGGTCTGGTGAAACAACAGTGCATCAAAAATTTGTGAAAACTGTATTTCTTTTGTGCAAAATAACATTCAAAGGTGTTTCTTAATCCAACTGGAAAGGAAATAATTGAATTTTATTGATCTCACATTGGAGAAATGGATCTCTGCATTTAACCCATCCTCTTGGGGAGCAGTGTGGGGTTAAGGGTATTGCTCAGAGACCCAGACTGCAGGTTGTGGGGATCGAACTGGGTACTTGCATCCTTCTCAGAGCACAAGCACACTGCTCTATCCACAAGGCCAGGGGTCTGTAAGCTGTGGCTCTAGAGCCACTTGTGGCTCTTTGGACCATGTATCTTAATAGAGGCTATAAAGATTAAAGAACAAAGTGATATAGGAGTCTTATTTTACTTATATATTATATAATAAAGGAGCGTTAGTGGTTTTTATAAAGAATATTTTAACTGAATTTTAACAATAAAATGACATATGAAATATGTTTATATAGCCATTTTCAATTACATGTTTTATCTTTATCTCTTTTAAAAGCTAAAAATAACAATAAACGTTTAGCTGTTTAAGATGGGAACAGATTCCCCACAACAGATATTTAACAAAAATAATGCGTTGCCTTTAATCATGTTATATTTTGCTTTTAGCTGGACAGATTTGGGGGAAAATGGCTCTTTGAAAATGAAAAGTTGCACTAGGCAAACACTGTGTTGAAATAAATAGTTTAAAAATGTTTCTGGATGTTTTATTTACTTAAATGAGGTTTCTATGTTGGTTACTTCAATGCAGATGTCCGGCATTGCCACCCTGCATCTCAAATTCCTCCACTCCCTGCCTGAATTTATCACACTTAATCCAGTTGTTTCACCTGAACCTCTGGAATTAGAATAGAATAGAATAGTGCTTTTTTTATTAGAGCAGGAACAGTTGCTGAATCATGAAAAGGGTAAAGTAGTTTGATACAGTTCTGTAGGGAGGACCGGTGTTATGGCAAGCCGTTTTAACATAAATTCGGTTGTACCGCCTTTACATTCAAGATATCTCATATTGTTTTATGACTAGACGTTTTAGAGATTTAAGATATCTCTAATTATATTTTGACTAGTCAAAATACCTATTCGGGATATCTCTAATTACACTCTGACTAGTCGAAATGAAGTCAGATTTACCATTAACCTGTATGGAGACATGTAAGATATCTATATTAATTTATCATAAAATATAAAGATATCTCGATATTGATTTTGACTAGTCATAATTCTGGTTAAAGATATCTCAAATTCCATCATAATTCAAGATATCTTAAAGAAGCGGATTTGAAACTTTGGATGACGTCATTCCAGGAGGAATGCAGGGTTTTGGATTCTTCGCTTTTATTCTGTTTTATTGTGAAGGGTCGGCTTCCGGTTGCGCAGCCCACCTGCGGCCGCATTGACTCAGCTCTGATGCCAGTCGGCATGACAACGCGCTCTCCAGGGCAAACCGGGAACAGCTGATGGAGGAAGAGGATGGCAGCTCAAGATGGCCAGTAACGGAACCAACGCTGAAAACGGAGCGGACGTTCGCCCCGGGATCAGGAGCGCCACCGGTTCGGTGCAGGTCCCGGCCATGGAGAGAGCCCGGCCTATCACGGTGAAGGTGTCCGCAGTGAGCCTGGCGCTCAGCTCGCTGTCCTTGCTGCTGCTGGTCACCGCCATCTCCACGGATCACTGGTACCAGACTGACACGCGCAGGCACAAGCAGAACTGCGACGGTTCCGACTCCAACGACCAGAAGAACCGGGAGATGCCCATCTACCACCTGCCGCTGGTGGACAGCGGCGGCGCCGCGGCCCGGCAGAGGGACGTGGCGCTCATGAAGCCAGTGCATGTGGGCAGCAGGGAGGAGGAGCTGCTGGAGAACTGGAGGGCCATCCTGGGGATGGGGATCCTGGAGACGGAGTGCGGCAGGCCGCTGTTTTCTACTCACTCCGGCCTGTGGAGGAAGTGCTACTTCAAGGGAATGGACCCGGACATCGACAAGCTGATCGATCGGGGTCCGCGGACACACACACACGCACACACACACCAGATATACACACCCAGCCCTCTGTTTATATAATTTACCTGATCTGAGGAAGGAAGGTTGGATGGATGGATGGATGGATGGATGAATGCTTTAATGGATGGATGGATGGATGGATGGTAGGATGGGTGGAAGGATGGATTCATTGGTTGATGGATAGATTGAAGGATGGACGATGGATGGATGGATGGTTGGATGGATGAATGAACAGATAGATGGATGGATGGATGGATGGATGGATGGATGGATGGATGGATGGATGGATGGATGGATGGATGCATAGTTTGACTGATGGATGGAC